GACTGCAAACCACATACATATATCCCAATACAGAAGTACAACTCTGATGAGCCTTCCTTGGCAAAGTCCCCCAGATGCCCATAGCCAGTTCAACACCACCAGACGTGAAGGGAGGCTGGGGTGAAAAGAGACAGTGGTCTTAACCATTTGTAGTTAAAATATCCCACTTTTGCAAATTTATTACAGCCTATCACCATATGAACACATTGCTAGGCCCCCTCTGGGTCTTGAAAGGGGCCTGCCTAAGTGAAGAACCGTAAGCCTATGCACACTGACTTCCTGGCACATGTGTCTTGGCCCCCATTGCTCTCAGTATCTTCCAAGCCCTCATCCCCACTTTCCTGGATTATTGCCATCACCTCTTGTTTCTTCCTTACCCCTGTTGGGCTGTTTTAAACACCTAGCCCAAAGGGATCCTATACAAGGTTAGATCATGTCACACTCTGTTCAAAGGTCCAATATTTTCTCATCTCGCTTCGAGTAAAAGCCTGCCCCGTTGCCTTTCTGACCTCACCTCTTGGTACGCGGCCCTTCCTTACTATACTCCAGTATCCTAAAGTTTCTGGAATGGTCAGGCATGCTTCCTAGGGGCTCTGGCATTTGCTGTTCATGCAGCCTGGATCACCCCTACCCAGATATGCACATGGCCCCCTCTCTCACCTCCTTCAGGAGAACCTTGCTTGGTCTGCCTTCACTATTCCCTATTTCTCATCCCTCCTTTATATTTCTCCATAAATCATACCACCATCTAAATACTACATTTCCCCCCGCTAAATACTACATTTTGTTTATTGTTTATCTCCCTCCTCTAGAACATGAGCTCCCTGAGGTGTGGATCTTGGCTTTGTCCATTGCCTGACACAATGACTGATTTCTGGTAAGCACAGGGGTCTCTGCCTTAAACTCTCCTTTCTCTAGCCCCACCAGAAGCCCACAGGATCACCTTCTGAGAAAGAGCAGGGAAAATATAGTTACTGGAAAGCCAGTTTCCTAAAAGAGAGTGAGTAGTGACAGGGTTTCCTAGCATGTGAGCAACTTGTTTTTATAAAGAACTATTATCTTATGAAGTGAATCCCCAGAGGATTTCATCACTGAGCTATAAATCTCCTGCACCACCACCTCCTGTCCCTATAGATGTAATCCAGGATTGTGGTAGTAATAGGAAATTGCCAAACCTTGTAATTTCTCTCCCCCAGTTCAAAGGAAAAACTACGGATAAAAAGGAAAGGCAGAAGAAGAAAAGGAGACATTTGAAATGTCTGTTCTTGTTTATCTTTCCTTCATTTTCATTGTTTTTTCTCCTTCTGACCTAGAATAAAATGAACCAGAAAATATTACAGAAAAGCAAGAAAATAGGCTGTCAGTAGAGCATCCCACTTGGTCAAAGAGGTGTTGGCATTCTGGTGTGACAAATGAGCTTAGTATCAGGGAAAGCAATAGTTAGTGCTTGTAAATATAAAATGTTTTAAGATGTGAACATAATAAAATGTTCTCCAAAAAGTTAAAAAAAAAAAGGAAAAGGAAAATTACTTATAATTCCACCACCACAGCAGAAAAGCTACCACTTTGTTCTATTCTCTTCCAATTTTTTCTTATATGCATATACTTTGTCATTGTAAAAAAAAAAAAACACAGCATAACATTTACCATATTAACCATTTTTTAAGCATATAGTATAGTAGTGTTACACATTTTTTGTACGTGTTATACTTGCACTTTTTGTAACCCAATTTTTTTTCTCACTTTTATCTTATATCCAATAAATCTTCCATGTGGCAAATCTGTCTGCATGCTTGTAATTTTAAAGATGCATACTGTTCTACTTCATGACTAAAACATATTTTAGTCAGCCATTCCCCTATAATTGGACATTTATGTTGCTTATAATTTTTTACTCTTAAAAATATGAGCTTTCAGTGCATATAGTATTTTTCTCTTTAGTATTTACAGTGATCTTCCTATGATGATTTTCTAGAACTTTTCTAAGGAAAATGAAGTCAAAAGTGATGATTATTTCATGGTTCTTAAAAATGACAATAAATTTGCTTTCCAATAAGTTTGTACCAATTTACAACAATGCCAATGAAATATGAAAGCAGCAATTTCACCACACTCTCACCAACATTTGATACCTTTTATTTTGCTAACTTAATATTTTTAAATGTTTCTCATGCTAATATATATTTTTTCCTATATCTATTTTCCTTGATTATTTCCTCTGTTGGGAAATAACAGTTCATGTCCCTTGTGCAGTTTACTTTTGAGAGGCTGTCTCAATATTGTTCTTATTCCTTTTCATGGGCTCTATATATAGCAGAGATTTTAACCCTTTATCATAGCTATTGTGAATATTTTTTCCCCATCTCTTTGTCATTTCTGGGCATGCTCTCATCTAAAGCACATTAACAGTCTTTTTTTTTTTTTAAAGATTTTATTTATTTATTTGACAGAGAGAAACACAGTGAGAGAGGGAACACAAGCAGGGGGAGTGGGAGAGGGAGAAGCAGGCTTCCCGCTGAGCAGAGAGCCCAATGAGGGGCTTGATCCCAGGACCCTGGGATCATGACCTGAGCCAAAGGCAGACGCTTAACAACTGAGCCACCCAGGCGCCCCAGGACTTGAACATTCTTGTACAGTTCAGATCTTTCCAATATGATATCTCCTGTCACATGTTGTCTTAGAAAACTCTATGATGTCTTAATCCCAGGGCTTTAATAAAGAATTTAATTCTGTTTTATTTCCTTGATTTTATTTTCTGTATCTAATTATTTAATCCATTCATTTTGATGTGTAATAGGTAGGTCAATTGACCTGTTCCTTAAATGCTTGCTAGTTAACCAAGACTCCTCCTTTATATTTTAAGAGACCCGTGAATGAAGTAAGAGAGTAGGCCTATGGCTATATGAAGAGTTCTCGTGTGCTGGGACTTGGATCCAGGCTCTGTGGGGAGCGAAGTAGAAGGTACAGCCCCAGAGGACTTAGGGGGTGGTATGGCTCCGTGGGAACAGCAGAGTGGCGATACGCAGAATGCACGATGGGACTGCACCTAAATGTCCGCTGTGCTTTCACCTTACCCTTTCCCTTCCTAACCAGCACTGGAGAATGAAAGCACTTCTGAAAATTCAAGACCACTTGACCCAGAGGTTTTCCTATCTTGCTAGAGTCCTTATGTTTCCAGGAATTGAGGGCTCTCAGTCGACCTACTGCAATGAATTTACTGCGCACGTGTGTGTGTGTGTGTGTGTGTGTGCGTGTAGCGCTGTACTAGGAACACCGTGTACCTGTATGGTTTGCAAAAGTAATAGCTCCGGGGCAACCATGAGTGAGGTAGCATGATGACAAGGATAAACGAGAGATGAGAAGATAAATCTAGGCGGATAACCTAATGTAGAGATGGCTCGGCTGTGTAGCCCTGATGGTATAGGGGTATGGCACTGTCCCTAGAAAGAGGTGCTCCCACCCTCAGTCCTCCCCGCTGCCTGGCACCTCAGCCCTCTGTTCGGTCGGTCGAAGCCCCTGATCCCACAGACAAGATCGTCCACTTATTTTCCTGCCCCCATGCCAGGCAATCAAGTTCACTCAAGCTGCGTCTCAAAGCTGTTGCCAGGGTCTTAAATCCTGGCGGAGAGCCACGTGCCCTGGACTGAGAGCTCGAAGTGCCCGCCCCCCATCCCCTGCCGCTGCCCACGAGCCTCAAGACTTAAGCGACCACAGTCGGAAGGCAAGTCTGACCTCCTGGTGCTGGTTCCCACCCGCCCATCTAGGTTCGCGGTTATCTTTCTTTCGGGGCTCGCAGTAAGTATGCGACCACAAACCCGAAACCGCTCGTTTTTTCTTTGCTGGGACCAAGTACGATACTGCTTGACTTTGTATCTTTTCACTGGCAGGCAGGTGGAGGGGAACGCTCCAATACTTCTACCCTGTCCCCAGTTTGGCATTAAGGCACGCAGAGCATCTTGTCACTTTAATCTTGAAAAAGAAAAAGCATCTGAGGTTCAGATCCTGTCAACAGTGACGTCCACCGTGGCAGATTCGCTCTCAGGACAACCTCCTCCTCCCCACCCCACACGGAGGGAATTCACCCTCGGGGCCGCCCCGCCTCGCTCTCTCCCACCGCCCTGCGGCGCCCGTGGGAAGAAGGACACATGTCCCCCGCAGAGAGGCCCTGGGGAGCCGCAGCTCTCAGGGTGCGCAGCGGGACCCGGCAAAGCTGGCCCTCCGGCCCCTGGACTGCGGCTGGCGGGCGGGGGAGCCGCGGGTCGAGGAAGGAGTGAAGAGTGGCGCCTGGGTGACCGATCGCCCCGAAGAAAGTCCCGCGAAAGTGTGATTCCTGCGCTAGGGAGAGGCGAGGCGGGTGCTCAGGAAGATGCCATAATGGGACCGGGAAACAACACCCCCCTCGCCCCGCCCAAGCCACCCACTTGTGTCTCTCAGCCTGAGTTCCCCGAGAGCGGCCGAAGGACCCCAAAGGCTGCGCTGCGTCTCCTTGAACCCCTAGCCGCCCCAGCGTCACCTCTCTTGGGGGGGCTTCGCGTTCCCTCCCGGGTTTCGGAGCCACCACGTGACTTCCACGAAGCGCAGGGGCCCAGCGGAAAGCCGCGGCAGGGGTGGGATTTGGGACCCCGAGGTGCGGCGAGAGGGCGGGGAGAGGAGGAAGCGGGGCGGGAGTGAGAGAAGGAGGGGCGGGCAGACTCGGGGAAGCGCAGGCCGGCGGGCCGGGGCGAGGGGTGGGGAAACCCGGGCAGTGCGGCGGCCGCACGCGCCGGGAGAGCGGGAAGCCCGAGGGGGCGGGGCGGAGGGCGGTGGCCGGCAGGTGCGGGGGCGCGAGGATGCGGGTGACCCGAGAGTGCCGGTAAGGCAGTGCCCCG